AAATCGATAGATTAAGTAAATTTAAGAAATGAAAAATTGAAAAATTGAAAAATTAAAAATCGAGAAACAAAAAATTCCAGCATTGAAAAAACCGAAAATTAAATGATCTAAAAATTGAGAAATTCTAAAAACGAAAAATTTAAGAAACTAAAAATTGAAAAATGAAGAGTTAGAAGTCCAAAAATGGACTAGTTGAAAAATCGAAAGATCGACAAATTTTAAAATTACAAAATCGGAAAAAACCTGCAAATCCAAGCATTTAAGAAACGAAAAATTCAAAAAGCCGAAAAGAATTGCAAAATGAAAACTTGAAGAAACCAATAATCGATCTATTAAAAATTAACATATTGAAAAATTGGAAAGAAGATTTGAAAAATTACGAAATTAAAATGTGGAAAGAGAAAAATTGAGACTTTAAAATACGAAAATGTTGAAAAATCGAAAAATTGTAAAATCGAAAAATCAACAAATTTTAAAATTGCAAATTGGAAAAAAACCTGCAAATTGAAAATCAAAAAGATTAGTGGAAAAATTGAAAGACCAAAAGTTCGAAAAATCGAAAAATTCCAAAATGTAAAATCGAAAAATTCCAAAATGTAAAATCGAAAAATCGACAAATTTTAAAATAAAAAAATCGAAAATTTTAATAATTTTAGAAGCGAACACTTGAAAAATCGAAAAATTGAAATTCGAGAAACAAAAAATCATAAAATTGAAACAACAGAAAACAAAATTATCTGTAAATTGAGAAATTGTGAAATCGAAAAATTGAAGAAAGCAAAAATTGAAAAATTCAAGAGTTAAAAATCGAAAAATGGAAAAACTACAGCATCTGGAAAATCGAGAATTACAAATCGAAAAATAGAAACATCGAGAAATTTAAAATTGAAAAGTCGAAAATAATGCAAGTCGAGCAATTAAAAACTGAGGCACTGAAAAATCGAAAAGAAAAACCGAAAAATTGTGAAATTAATATGTGGAAAAATAGAAAAATTGAGAATTTAAAATATCGAGAGGTTAAAAATTGCAAAATTGTAAAATTCAAAAATCGATAAATACTACAATAAAAAAAAATGAAAAAATGAAAAAAAAACGCAAATCTAAACATCTAAGAAATGAAAAATTTGAAAATCGGAAAATTAAAAATTAAGAAATAAAAAATCCCAAAATTGAAAAGACAAAATCTAAATAATCTAAACATTTAAGAAATGAAAAATTGAAAAATCAGACAAATAAAAATCAAGAAAAAAAAATCCCAAAATTGAAAACACAGAAAACTAAATTATTTAAAAATTGAGAAATTCCAAAATCGATGAATTTAAAAAACTAAAAATTGAAAAATGAAGAGTTAAAAATCGAAAAATGGAATAACTAAAGCATCGGGAAAATCCAAAATTTACAAATCGAAAAATAGAAAAATCGAGAAATTTTAAATTGAAAATCCGAAAATAATGAAAATCGAACAAGTAAAAATTGAGAGATTGAAAAATTGAAAAGTGTAACCAAAAATTGGAAAAATAGAATATGGAAAAATAGAAAAATGGGGAAATAAAAAATCCCAAAATTAAATAAACACAAAACTAAGTTATCTAAAAATTGAGAAATTGTAAAATCGATGAATTCAATAAACTAAAAACTGAAAATTGAAGAGTTAATAATCGAAAAATGGAATAAATAAAGCATCATTATTATTATTATTATTATTATTATTGGGAAAATAAAAAATTTTCAAATCGAAAAATAGAAAAATCGAAAAAATTAAAATTGAAAAGCCGAAAATAATGAAAACCGAACAATTAAAAACTGAGACACTGAAAAATTAAAAAAAAACGCAAATCGAAACTTTTAAGAAAGTAAAAATCAAGAGACAAAAAATTCTAACATTGAAAAAAAAAACAGAAAACTAAATTATTTAAAAATTGAGAAATTATAAAACTGATAAATTGAAAAATAAAGAATTAGAAGTCCAAAAACGGAATAATTGTAACATCGGAAAAATCGGGAAATCCAAAATTTACAAATAGAAAAACTTAAATTTGAAAAGCCGAAAAGAAAATCCAAATGGAAAACTTGATCTAGCGAAAATTGGAACAATTACAAATTCAGAAATTGAAAAATCAAAAGGGATAATCGGGAAATGGCGAAATCAATACATGGATAAATAGAAAAATTGGGAACTTAAAATATCGAGAGATTGAAAAATCGAAAAATTGCAAAATTGTAAATCCAAAAATCGGCAAATTTTAGAATAAAAAAATTGTAGAATCCAAAAATCTGCAAATTTTAAAATTAAAAAATAGAAAAATTAGGAAAAACGCAAATCGAAACATTTAAGAAATGAAAAATTGAAAAATTCCAACATTGAAAAAACAGAAAACAAAATGATATAACAATTGAGAAATTCTAAAAGCGATAAATTTAAGAAAATAAAAATTGAAAAATGTAGAGTTGGAAGTCTAAAAATGGACTAGTTGAAGCATCGGAAAAATCAAGAAATCCAAAATTTACAAATCGAAAAGAATAATTGAAAAATTGCGAAATTGAAATACCGAAAGTTTGGAAAATCGAAAAATCGACAAATCTTAAAATTACAAAATCGGAAAAAGACTTCCAAATCGAGGCATTAAGAAACGAAAAGTTGAAAAATCGAAAGAACAAAAACTAAGAAACAAAAACTCCCAAAACTGAAGAAACAGAAAACTAAATTATCTAAAAATAGAGACATTGTAAAATCGAAAAATTGCAGAAACTAGAAATTGAAGAGTTAAAAATCAAAAATTTACAGATCGAAAAGTTGAAAACTCGAAAACAACATCTAAATCGAAAACTTGAAGTAACGAAAATTCGAAGTCAAAACATTTGAAAAATTCGAAAACATGAAAAACGGAAATATCGAAGAACTGAAATAAAAAATCGAGAAATCGAAAAATCTAGAATTTTAAATATTGAAAAATTAAAATATCAAGAAACTGAAAATTCTAAAATTTCAAAATCGAAAAATTGAAAAAAAGACAATTGAAAAACAGAAAATCCAAAACCGGAAAGTCGAAAAATCGAAAGATTAAGAAATCGAAACATTTGAAAAATTTAAACATACAAGAAGTGAAATGAAAAATCGAGATATCGAAAAATCTAAAATTTTAAATATTGAAAAATTAAAATATCAAAAAATTGAGAAATCTAAAATTTAAAAATCGAAAAAGTAAAAAGTCGACACATCGAAAAATCCAGAAGTCAAAAATGGAAAAGTCGATGAACAGAAATATTGAAAAATCGCAAAACTGAAAAATGAAAGAAAAACTGACGAATCGAAAAACGGAAAAATCCCAAAACTGAAATATCCAAAAACTGAGAATCTAAAGAAACGAAAAATTGAGAAATAAAAATAAAAAAAGTGAAGACGAAATATCGAAACCTTAAAAAAATCGAAAAACTGAAAAATCAAAAACCTGCAAAATCGTAAGACCGAAAAATTGAATAACAAGTAAACTGAAAAATCCCAAAACTGAAATGTCCAAAAACTGAGAAATTAAAAATTTGAAAAATTGAGAAATCGAAAAATCAAAAAAGTGAAGTTGAAAAATCGACACCTGAAAAAATAGAGAAATTGAAAAACCAAAAAACCTGAAAAATCAATTAATTGAAAAATCGACAAATAAAGAGTTTATAAAAGTCGAAAATTGAAAAATCGAAATATTTAAAAATCGTAAAATTGAAAAGAAAAACTGAAAAATCTAGTGTCAATTTGTGGAAAGTAAAACGCGTCTTTAAAAATATTATGACATTATTGTTTCTATTGTAGTTAATTTTATTCCTAGTTAGAAACAAACACGGTTGCCAACATAAGTCAAGGCGTTCTCAACCGTCATTTTATTTAAACTATGACGCTTCTTTATGTTCTCTGCCTATACCTTCGGTCGACTAATTTCTATTCAATTTACATGTATGCAACCACCATTACGTATTCAAAGAAATCAATACTGCCCAAACAAAGAAATTATGTTTTCTGCAAGTTGGCCCTCTGTACTCTAAACAATGCTATTTTACCAGTTAAATTTATCAGTGGTGCCAACAAAGAAGATAATCAGAACAACTGCTCCGGTCAAAATATTGTCTGATTTTCCTGGCTGTAACTTACTAGCTGCGAGCATTTAGGGCATACGTACAATAAAAATAAATTTTAAATCATGAACGCGTACACGGGATTCCCGCGTCACTTACGCCGTCGTCAATTTCCGCGTTTCCGAACGACCATTTCAAGTGCAGTTTTTTGCTCCCGAATTATCGTTTTTACCTTCTTATTTGCTTGTGAAGTAAAGACTGCGATGGCCACTTCATACGGTTCACTTGGTTGTCAACACTACAAGCGGAAGTGCAAATTTGAGGTAAAAATTTGTTTGTTCAAGTTTGAAACTTAACATTTATTTTAGACGCCGTGTTGCAAAAAATTTTACACTTGCCATTTTTGTCACGACGAGCAAGAAACTCACACCCTTGATACAACAGCGATAGTAAAAGTGGTGTGTTTGGTGTGCCATCGCAAACAAAAGGTGCAAAACAAGTGCGTTAAATGCCGCACCGTGTTTGGGAGAGTAAGTAATTTTGTTGATTTGTAGTGTCGTTAATAATGATCTTAACAGTATTTCTGTTCGATTTGTAACCTTTTTGATGATGATGCAAGTAAGGGACAGTTTCACTGCGCCGATTGTGGGATGTGTCGAACTGGCGGTTTTAGAAATTTTTTTCATTGTGAGACATGTAACATGTGCCTTGCTCTTAAATACAAAGGAGTTCATAAAGTAAGTTTGCAACGTGCGACTTGTTCAGAAGTTATATATATTTTTATTGTTTCAGTGTATTGAAAATCGGTCCCGCACTGACTGTCCAGTGTGTTTAGAATATATCCACACTAGTACAATTGATCTACATTTCGCGGAGTGTGGCCACTTAGTGCATCAGACCTGTTTTGAAGAGCTGCAAAAGAAACGCATTTACATGTGTCCTATTTGTAAGGCGCCCTGGAAGGCTCCAAAGAAAACCAAACCATAAACAACACCACCAACTTTTACTTTTCTTTGTCGATTTATAAATTTGTATTTTACTGGATTTAACTTTGTACTTTCTTACTATATTAAAAACGTGAAGCATTATCAGGGTTACCTTAACTGTACTCAAATTCAAAGATTAACTTTATTAAAATCGACAATTTCGTCAAAAGTTTTGAAAAACCACCCATCAGGTTTGACTTCACCAGGCTTCGGCATTTCTTCCAACCTTCCTGGCAACGGCTTTTCAAAGAAAAATTTGTGATTTAAAGCCTGAAACTACAACATTCAACACCCATTTAAACCACACCAAATCATACTTTTTTAGCTCCCAATCGTTTGTGTTGATCATACTGTATAATTTTTTTAATCAAGTCAACACTAGAGGCATCACAGTCCGGAAACTTGCTTTCCCAGGATTGTCCCTCACTATGAGTGAAAGCAATTTTGTTGTAATCCGGCAAACTAGTTAACTCAGGCCACACGTTCTCGTCGGGGGTACCCAAAGTCGCTATAACTATAGCGAGTTGAGCAATGTCAGTTTCACCCTTGAAAAAACCCGTTAGTTTGAATTAAAACAGTGTGTGTCATTTTAGTACGGGAAAAAGGGGCTGCTTGTCGATCATTTCGGCCAAAATACAACCAACGGCCCACATATCCACTGCCGGTGTGTATTTCTGAGCGCCGTACAGCAATTCGGGGGCGCGGTACCACCGGGTCCCCACTTGGTGCGTGTACAGGCGATCTTTCTCTTTATTGTAGATCCTCGACAGCCCGAAGTCGGCGATTTTCAAAATTCCACAACTGTCTATCAATAAATTCGCGGGTTTTAAATCCTGAAACAAAAAAAATCAACTGTGTGCGAACACTCCCACAATCATTACTCTATGCATGATCCGATTCGAATGCATGGTATCCACACCCAAAAGAATCATTTTCGTGTACGTTTTGATCTGTGGCAGCGACAGAGGTTTGTCTACATCCTTCAGAACTTCGGCTAGACTTCTCTGCAGGTAGTCCATCACGAGTAACACGGCGCTGTCAACGGTGAATATTTCCACTAATTGTACAATCTATAATTAGCGATGTAGGTAATGCTAAACAGTTAAAACTTACGTATTTGGACTGCAGAGCTCGAAGGGTACATATTTCGCGCATTGTGTTTTTGGGGATCCCGTTGGCAATACTGGCGATGGTTATTTGCTTCAAGGCCACGGTTCTTCCGTTTCGGGTGTCCAAAGCTTTGAAAACTAGCCCGTGGGCCCCCTTGCCGATCCTACCCAACAATTTGTAGTTCTCCATTGTGTTGTGATTGGCGTTGCCATGGCAACCGCTGGGGAAATAATTTCGCTGTATTTTTAACTTTTTTTGCTAAAAATGGACAATAAGTGATTGTTATAACTAGTTTTTATGATTTTAGTGATACGGGCGACTTATGTTTTTAAAAATTTAAATTCTTGTGTTCACACGAAATGTCAAAGCGGCAGTGCAGGTACCTGTAAAGGTTAAAATTCCTAAATCATTCTTGTCACCAGAGAACATAGAGAAGCGTCATAGTTTAAAATAAATGACGGTTGAGGACGCCTTGACTTATGTTGGCAACCGTGTTTGTTTCTAACTAGGAATAAAATTAACTACAATAGAAACAATAATGGCACTATTGACACTAGATTTACCAGAATATTACAAGCTGTTTACAGCTTCCTTCACTTGTGATCTGATACACATCCTAACCGGTTTCGACCATAATTTCTTGCTATTTCGACTTTCGAATTCTCAGTTTTTCGAAATTTTAGTTTGGGGCCTTTTCAGTTTACTCCTATTCAATTTTTGGATTTTACAATCTCTCAATTTTTCAATTTCTCGGTTTTCAGGTTTTCTCTCTCTTTATTTGTCGATTTTTCAACTAATTGATTTTGCAGGTTTTTTGGTTTTTCAATTTTTCTATTTTTTCAGGTTTCGATTTTTCAACTTTACTTTTTTGATTTTTCGATTTCTCAATTTTTCAATTTTTTAATTTCTCAGTTTTTGGACATTTCAGTTTTGCGATTTTTCAGTTTACTTGTTATTCATTTTTTCGATCTTACGATTTTGCAGGTTTTTGATTTTTCAATTTTTCGATTTTTTTAAGGTTTCGATATTTCGTCTTCACCTTTTTGATTTTTATTTCTCAATTTTTCGATTCTTTAGATTCTCAGTTTTTGGATATTTCAGTTTTGGGATTTTTCAATATTTCTGTTCATCGACTTTTCCATTTTTGACTTCTGGATTTTTCGATGTGTCGACTTTTTACTTTTTCGATTTTTAAATTTTAGATTTCTCAATTTTTTGGTATTTTAATTTTTCAATATTTAAAATTTTAGATTTTTCGATATCTCGATTTTTCATTTCACTTCTTGTATGTTTCAATTTTTCAAATGTTTCGATTTCTTAATCTTTCGATTTTTCGACTTTCCGGTTTTGGATTTTCTGTTTTTCAATTGTTTTTTTTTCAATTTTTCGATTTTGAAATTCTAGAATTTTCAGTTTCTTGATATTTTAATTTTTCAATATTTAAAATTCTAGATTTTTCGATTTCTCGAATTTTTATTTCAGTTATTCGATCCGTTTTTCATGTTTTCGAATTTTTCAAATGTTTTGACTTCTTAATCTATCGATTCCCGGTTTTTTCTGTTTTTCAATTGTCGTTTTTTCAAATTTTCGATTTTTCAATTTTTCAAATTTGACATTTATAAACTGTCAATTTTTCGATCTTTCAATTAATCAATGTTTTGATTTTCCCATTTCTTGACTTTCGGGGATTCGATATTCCTGTTCTTCAATTCTTTAATTTTTCTATTTTTCATTTTTTAGTTTTTTTAAAGTTTCGATTTACTTTTCGGCTTCACTTTTTTGGTTTTTCGATTTTTCAGTTTTTAGATATTTCAGTTTAGGATTTTTCAATATTTCAATTCTTCGACTTTTTTATTTTTGACTTCTGGATTTTTCGATGTGTCTACCTTTTTACTTTTTCGATTTTTCAATTTTTGGATTTTTTAATGTTAGATTTTTCAATCTTTTGATATTTTAATTTTTCAATGTTTCTTACTCTTTCGATTTTTCGACTTCCTGGTTTTAGATGTTCTGTTTTTCAATTTTTCGATTTGTTAATTTTTCATTCCCGATTTATCGAGATTTGATTGTTCAGGTTTTCGATTTATCAGTTCTTCAATATTTTATTTTGACCTGTTTCGGTTTCTCAGTTTTTCCAGTTTTCCATTTTTTCGTTTTTTTCATTTTTCCGCTTTTCCAATTTTTCAACTTTTAACTTTTTGTTTGTCGATTTCTCTATTTTTCGATTTTTCGACTTCATCACTTTTCGATTTCTCGTTCTTTTGATCTTTCAATCGATTTTTCAATTTTTGACTTTTATAAACTCTTTATTTGTCGATTTTTCAATTAATTGATTTTTCAGGTTTTTTGGTTTTTCAATTTTTCTATTTTTTCAGGTTTCGATTTTTCAACTTCACTTTTTTGAATTTTTTTTTGATTTTTCGATTTCTCAGTTTTTCAATTTTTTAATTTCTCAGTTTTTGGACATTTCAGTTTTGCGATTTTTCAGTTTACTTGTTATTCATTTTTTCGATCTTACGATTTTGCAGGTTTTTGATTTTTCAATTTTTCGATTTTTTTAAGGTTTCGATATTTCGTCTTCACCTTTTTGATTTTTATTTCTCAATTTTTCGATTCTTTAGATTCTCAATTTTTGGATATTTGAGTTTTGGGATTTTTCAGTTTTTCGATTCGTCAGTTTTTCTTTCATTTTTCAGTTTTGGGATTTTTCAATATTTCTGTTCATCGACTTTTCCATTTTTGACTTCTGGATTTTTCGATGTGTCGACTTTTTACTTTTTCGATTTTTAAATTTTAGATTTCTCAATTTTTTGGTATTTTAATTTTTCAATATTTAAAATTTTAGATTTTTCGATATCTCGATTTTTCATTTCACTTCTTCCATATTTCAACTTTTCAAATGTTTCGATTTCTTAATCTTTCGATTTTTCGACTTTCCGGTTTTGGATTTTCTGTTTTTCAATTGTCTTTTTTCCAATTTTTCGATTTTGAAATTTTAGAATTTTCAGTTTCTTGATATTTTAATTTTTCAATATTTAAAATTCTAGATTTTTCGATTTCTCGATTTTTCATTTCAGTTCTTCGATATTTCCGTTTTTCATGTTTCGAATTTTTCAAATGTTTTGACTTCTTAATCTATCGATTTTCGACTTCCCGGTTTTTTCTGTTTTTCAATTGTCGTTTTTTCAAATTTTCGATTTTTAAATTTTTCAAATTTGACATTTATAAACTGTCAATTTTTCGATCTTTCAATTAATCAATGTTTTGATTTTCCCATTTCTTGGCTTTCGGGGATTCGATATTCCTGTTCTTCAATTCTTTAATTTTTCTATTTTTCATTTTTTAGTTTTTTTAAAGTTTCGATTTTTCGACTTCACTTTTTGGATTTTTCGATTGTTCAATTTTTCGACTTTTTAGTTTCTCAGTTTTTGAATATTTCAGTTTCCGGATTTTTCAGGTTTTCCATTTTTCAGTTGCTCTTTCATTTTTCAGTTTTTTGATATCTGAGTTTTGGGATTTTTCAATTTTTCGATTCTTCGACTTTTCGATTTTTGACTCCTGGATTTTTCGATGTGTTGATTATTTTACTTTCTCGATTTTTCAGTTGAGTTCTTCAATATTTGAATTTTTCAAGTTTTCGAATTTTGCAAATGTTTCGATTTCTTAACCTTTTGATTTTTCGACTTCCCGGTTTTATATTTTCTGTTTTTCAATTGTCATTTTGTCAAATTTTCGATTTTTTTCAAATCTGACTTTCATAAACTCTCAATTTTTCGATTTTTCAATTAATCGATAGTTTGATTTTCCCATTTCTTGAACTTCGACTGTTGCGATTTTCCTGTTCTTCAGTTCTTTAATTTTTTGATTTTTCAGGTTTTTGATTTTTCAATTTTTCTATTTACTTTTCGACTTCACTTTTTTGGTTTTTCGATTTTTCAGTTTTTAGATATTTCAATTTTAGGATTTTTCAATAATTTAATTCTTCGGCTTTTTTATTTTTGACTTCTGGATTTTTCGATGTGTCTACCTTATTACTTTTTCGATTTTTCAATTTTTGGATTTTTTAATGTTAGATTTTTCAATCTTTTGATATTTTAATTTTTCAATGTTTCCTTAATCTTTCGATTTTTCGACTTCCTGGTTTTAGATGTTCTGTTTTTCAATTTGTCGAATTGTTAATTTTTCATTCCCGATTTATCGAGATTTGATTGTTCAGGTTTTCGATTTATCAGTTCTTCAATATTTTATTTTGACGTATTTCGGTTTCTCAGTTTTTCCAGTTTTCCATTTTTTCGTTTTTTTCATTTTTCCGCTTTTCCAATTTTTCAACTTTTAACTTTTTGTTTGTCGATTTCTCTATTTTTCGATTTTTCGACTTCATCACTTTTCGATTTCTCGTTCTTTTGATCTTTCAATCGATTTTTCAATTTTTGACTTTTATAAACTCTTTATTTGTCGATTTTTCAATTAATTGATTTTTCAGGTTTTTTGGTTTTTCAATTTTTCTATTTTTTCAGGTTTCGATTTTTCAACTTCACTTTTTTGATTTTTTTTTTGATTTTTCGATTTCTCAGTTTTTCAATTTTTTAATTTCTCAGTTTTTGGACATTTCAGTTTTGCGATTTTTCAGTTTACTTGTTACTCATTTTTTCGATCTTACGATTTTGCAGGTTTTTGATTTTTCAATTTTTCGATTTTTTTAAGGTTTCGATATTTCGTCTTCACCTTTTTGATTTTTATTTCTCAATTTTTCGATTCTTTAGATTCTCAATTTTTGGATATTTGAGTTTTGGGATTTTTCAGTTTTTCGATTCGTCAGTTTTTCTTTCATTTTTCAGTTTTGGGATTTTTCAATATTTCTGTTCTTCGACTTTTCCATTTTTGACTTCTGGATTTTTCGATGTGTCGACTTTTAACTTTTTCGATTTTTAAATTTTAGATTTCTCAATTTTTTGGTATTTTAATTTTTCAATATTTAAAATTTTAGATTTTTCGATATCTCGATTTTTCATTTCACTTCTTCCATATTTCAATTTTTCAAATGTTTCGATTTCTTAATCTTTCGATTTTTCGACTTTCCGGTTTTGGATTTTCTGTTTTTCAATTGTCTTTTTTTCAATTTTTCGATTTTGAAATTTTAGAATTTTCAGTTTCTTGATATTTTAATTTTTCAATATTTAAAATTATAGATTTTTCGATTTCTCGATTTTTTATTTCAGTTCTTCCATATTTCCGTTTTTCATGTTTTCGAATTTTTCAAATGTTTTGACTTCTTAATCTATCGATTTTCGACTTCCCGGTTTTTCAATTGTCGTTTTTTCAAATTTTCGATTTTTCAATT